TTTTTTTTTTTTTTTTTTTTTTTTTGTTGTCGTGTCTCATTCGTATAGTAAAAACTACTGTATCGTGATTTGCCTAAAACTAATATACTCATTTGTTTCAATAAAATTCGCGGCATTCGGACTTATGTTTTCGTATCGTTTAATACTTAAAAAAATAATTTTTTTTTTTTTTTGATGTGACTTTTATTATGATTATTTACGCTTGATATGATACCGATTTAGTAAATCATCGTTTTAAAGAACCGTTATCAAAAAACCATATGCGAATATCAATTATTACGATGAGAAGATGTTTAACGATCCTAGAGTCGTATATGCCTGACAACTTATTGATTGGACGTGATAGTGGAAATTAAGGTCGGAGGATAAAAGAACGCCCAGATATTTTCCACGACCGGTAAATGTATTACGGCCGTAATACCGTTAATCGGGTAGATGCGGTTAATTGAAGTACGGGATCTGGAGGACATGGACTGGCACTTGAGTACTACGAGCTTTTCAAAAAAAAAAACTCTGGAGTGTGATAGTCTAGGACGGCAATTGGCCCGTGGTTCTCGACGCGCGATTTGTCGGCGCCGATTTGTCGGCGCCGATTGATCGAAGCGCAATATTACGAACGCGCGTTCCACGTTCCCCGTGCCGAAACCCGCCCGCACGACCGTTGCTTAAGTAGGCAAACGCACCTAAAATAACAACTAATACCAATTAACGAGATTAATCCGGTCGGTCTCGCGAACACGTACGCGTACGCACAAACACACACGCACACACACACAAACACACACACACACACACACACACACACACGCAGAGTATTTAGATTGAGTCTATGTTATCGCCGCGAATTATTAGTTGGTTTTAAGTTGCGCAAGACGTCCGCGCCGTGCGGCGGCCCCGCGTACCCGGACAGTCGGCGGGGCCCGGCCGTTACTATTATTGATACGTTCAGCGCGCCGTAAAACATTACCATTTTTTTTTTTCTTTTTTTTGAGCGTACACCGACGCCACACAAGCCGCGAATCGACCATTCGTTATGTCGCGTGTCGCGAATCCGCGCGGCCTTTGTTTTGACACCCTTGTAATATTATGTTGTTAAGATTGCAGGCGCGAATCGCCGGGTTTTCTTATAGTACCATCGTACCGTCGTCGTACGTCACCGCTACAGTTACCTATTTACCTATTTATTTGTATTGTTTTGTTTATGCGTGCCGCGTGTTTTTCAATTATTTAGGTTTTTTGTAAGCGGGTGGCCGGTCTGCGCACCGTGTACGTGTACTGCGAGTTATTTCAATATATTTCATGAAATCGTAATAACCTAATGTTTAAGGTTTACATTTAGGGCTATGATTTTACTGTTTCACCTTGAATAAATTCTTAAATGCCATCCAATGAGTCTGCTGCGAATGTACAGTTGTTGATTCTGGTAAACAATTAATAACAGTTGTGTTTGAGTATTTATTACAAAAACAAACTGTACTTCGTAAATTCACAATAACTGAATGAAATATATTCACGCGCGTTTGATGCAGGACAACATAATTCCAAACATTATCAGTAATTCAAAATTAAATTATAAGACGCAGCTTAATGACGACCAGTTTCCTAAACATCAAGGCCGTAAATGTAGACCACTAGGACGCACTAAAAAAACGGCAATATTCCTCAGCACACAGTGATTACGGTGTTTTCGCATGTGAACCGCCAAAACGATTACGATCGATAGGTAAAGAGTTTTATAATAAGCGTCATAAATTCCGGAGAGTACACGGATTTCCGTGTAAAGATTGCGGAGCGGTATTCGACAACGCAAATGCGTGAAGGTGGGTCGCGTTTTATATTAAATATAAAATACGGTTTTCTAATTATTATTATTATAAAACGCGAATATTTCGCGTGCGGTATTTTATATTACGGTAAGGATACCTCGTTCAACAGAAAATGTCGAGTTTTACGTCATATTCCACGAGTTCCGCATATTTCTTTATAGGTACGAAAGCAGTTTTGTACACCATGAATATCTAGAAATTCGTATCAAAGACTTAAATATCCTTTTACGACGATATACGTATAGACACCGTTATAATAAAAAACACACGCCGTCGTCAGTCACTCCCGTTAGCAGCAAAGTTAAGTTACTACAGTCGAATTTCCTCCCATCTAGTTTATGGTATAAACATATTTGTATAAAACAATAAAATATAACCGAACGCCATAATAATACAATGCTATAAACTATCTCTTGGCACACAGATAAACCCCGGAAAGGCTTTAGGAATAATTTTTAGGCATCGCTAGCCGTATAATATAATACTGCAGTGCTTCCCAACCAGTGGTCCGTGAGCCTGGCATCGGTGGTGCATTGTGTCGACAGTTAAATTCGAACTAGAATTACTCCGAACATTGGACATACAAAATTTGGTATACCGGAAGATAACTACAATGAGTAATATCAAATATTCAACTCCGGGCATTGCCCTACTTTATCTTCTTGTATTTTCTACAACACATTAAATGCGAGACACGAAGTTTGAGTCTGCTCATAATAAAAATTCCCTAGAACAATGGGAACGGTTCCAGCCACTATTATAGGTAATTTAATGTATAGCTGTAAGCAACGATAAACCATTGCTAACGAAAAAACTATTGTGAGCCAAGTTCAGATGATAGTGATTATTAGTCGACAATATATATGCCATTTTATAATAAAATTAATAAAAGGCACCACATAATTTCTTTAATTTGTTATACATATTTGTTTAATGCAATACCGATTTTCACAGTTTTTCTACTTTTTTCCCGGTTTTCTCACGTTTTCTCCCAGTTTTTCACATTTTTTTTAGGAAAACTCTCAAGAAAAACAAAAAAATGAACTGTCTGAACTACCTCCCTAGTGAAATTTACATTTAGAAACATTGTGAGCATTAAAATTTGGAGCGAAATTGCTGGTAGAAAAGTTCTAATACCTACATTTCGTAAATTTTACCGTTTTTTTCAGTTTTCCCATTTATTGAGAAAACTCTTGGGACAATCGAAAAATAACTTCCCTAAAGTACCTTCCCGTCGGATTTCCTTTCGGAAAAATCGCTATCATTGTATATCAGAGCCAGATTGCCTGTATACAGGTCGTGCACAGAAAATAAAAATCGTAATATATTTCTGTACATTATTATTAAATTATATTGTATTGCATTGCCACGTATTGTATTATAATAAAGTAATAAAGTAGAAACTAGATTAACCGTCACCCTCTGTTATCCGTCGCGGTCACCGTCGAAAAAAAAAGTTACCTAATGATGCGATCGCGATAAACCCGTCGCGGTGCCTAACGCGGTTATTACCAAACGTATACAAATGGTTTATAATATCCAAAATATGCAATAAACGCGATAACGCGTAGTCGTTTTAAATTCGCAATTTAACCAGTGACCGACGAGTATGGCCTGTGTGTGCAAATAAGTGTTGTAAAAACATATACGTTTTATTAAAAATGTTAACCGTCATTGTCCCGGTCCCGACAGTGACGGTTAATCGAGTTTCTGATGATTTAGAGAATAATGGAGCTGTCTTTGGATAATAGGATCGGGCGCAGCCACTATTAAATGCAATTTAACGTATACTTGTTACTAGCAACGATGAACCATGGCTAACGAAAAAAACGATTCTGAGCTGAGTTGAGTTGATAGTAAGGCTTTGTCAACAATATATATTATAGTAAAATAATGAAATAAGTATTATTTATTTGCATTTATAATATTTGTTTAATGATGTACCGATTTTTCCGGTTTCCCTGCGTTTTTCCCGGTTTTTCATATTTGCTGGGAAAACTTTTGAAAATATTGAAAAATGATTTCCTTAAATTACCTCTCCACACCGATTTCCTTTCGGAAAAGGTGCTGAACTTAAAAATCAGAGTAAGATTTCTGGTAGAAAAATTGCACACAGGTTTTACATCTTTGTAAAACCATAAGTTTCTTCTCTCCTCTCAGAATATAAAATCACATAAGGTTATTATTTTATTATTTATTATAATAGAAAGCTAGAAAGGAATTTTTACATGAGTTACCGAGCACACAGTTATTAGTCTCAAACAGCCGGTCTCCAGGAAAGTCGAAATGCTTCCAAACGGGTAATATTGGTCAAGTATCAATTGAGAACTAATTGGATGCTGCTGGTTGGTATTAATTAGGTATTGAAAATCGTCTATGATAATAGGAAGGAATATTACAAATATTATTCTACTTAAAAAAAAAAAAAAACGGAAAAAGGTGAAATTTTTAAACCATAAATATTGTTGAGTTGGGGACGGAGACTCAAAGGTAAAAACCCTCGAAAGGCATGTCTCCTTGGTACTAACGCCATGCATGCATAATGTTACATACCCTGTCTTCAATTGAGTATCTGCCGATCGGGGCGTTTAAAATTTAAAATAAAAAAAAAAACGCTCTTCATCCCCAAAAATACGGTGAAACACATATTGAAATCAAACCCAACTTTTACAAATTCATTCAGTCCATAAAATAACTCCGATTCCCGGGTTTCAGAGCTCATTCGACCCGAATGAGGGAGACGCTGAAAGTATTCAGTTGTACCGGGAAAAATATAAACATACACGGACTTTGTACGATAATGTACACTTCTACGTACTAGTTATATGCCGGCCAGTATTCGTGCAGAATTCAAAAACACACCGGACATCGCACATTTTGCGAAACTTTCCACAGCCACTCCGGCCAATATGAGTAACGTAATATTTCATAAAAATAATAATGCGAAAACAAAATTATTAAAATGTGTGAAACTTGTAAATAAATATCTAAATACAAACTGCATACGTATTGAACATGATATTATTTTTCGCGCGAGCACGACAAAATTATTATGTCCACACTTGTCGTTACTGTATAATATTGTAACGTACTACGTGGCAACAACAGTATTCAGTACGCGGTATGAAACGACGGACCACGACGGACTTAGCCATGATGTTACAATAATAATACGTTTTCAGTTTTCCAGAGAGTGTCTCGCCAGTCGGCGTATTCCGTACACGATGCAGGTTGTCTGCACGCGTAGGTCATTTGACCACACTAGTTGTTTTATCGCAAAATCGCGGAGATACAGATCTACTGCTGCTGCACTCACTTCACTGGCTGTTTATTTGTATAATAACAATAACAACGCAACTACATCGTTAAACTCGCGCATTGTTCTAATCGCAATGAAGTCAATAAAACATAAAAAAAAAAAAAAAACCGCCCGTGAGAAGCAGAACTCCGATTTTTGAGCAAACCATGTTTAAATCATAAATATATATAACATAAATCGGAAAACAAAGTACGCGAAATGTCTTGAATTTTACGATTTTCATTAAAATTTACGAGCTCGGTGCAACAATGAGACAAATGAATTTTTGATAAAGTTTCGAGTAAAGTAATAAATTTTAAATAATTCGGTGCAACAATAATGTAAGTCTGTCTACTGTCTGTTTTACGGAAACGACTTGTTTGGTACAACCGAATTCTCGACAAAAGAATACAAGCCCCATAGATAGATGTTTTTCTTTCTCCTCGACAATCACTGAACGCGTACTTGTCTTAATGTTACACCGATCCCTTTAGGTTCAAATTACAACACTAATAAAAAAACAGTTACTACGGATTTTCGATATGAACAATCTAATGGCTAATACGAATGAATGGAACGAACGGTATAAAACAAACTTAAACATCAAAAGTTATCCAACCAAATTGATCGACGAACGAAAAGTTCGATTTTCGTTTACTTTTAATGAATCGCCATCGTTATAATCACTTATGAACCGTATGGCGAGTGAACCGTATAAACGGTAATTTCATTCGCGTTATGAGCGAAGGTAAACGCAAAAGGTCTATTGTTATCTATTTGTGTACTCTCTCGCTTCGCCCTCAACAACGTGATTAATCGCCGAGAGCAGGTACCTTTTCGCCACTTGTCTCGATAGTTTTCAATTCCTGAGATACCGAATCCTCTGCCGCCAGGCCAATCAATCGTTTCGCGGTTCTTACTCTGCAGGCATCGAGGTTTCCATTCCGCGACCGCTCTCGACGTCTCGTCTTCAACTATTTGGCCCGAGCGCCCGACCATTGAATATCGTTTGGCGTTACACACATTTAGTTTGTTATTAGTTTGTTATTGGTGCCGATTCCGATGCGTAATTTAGCAGGCATATCGGCCCGGCACGGAGATTCAAAAAGTGTGTACACCGTTCGGCTTTCTCGCACGAACGCGTGTTCGTCAAAAGCGTACACACGCGTCGTGCCGCAACGACAATGATCGTCGTCGTCCGTTTCATCGGCGCGGTAAGCCCGCGCTCCGGCCGGTGTGCGGAAATCCGCGAACGGGCGAGAGCGCGAAACAAAGGCGGCGGCGGCGAATCCGACCGCGCGAGAAAGGCCGGGTGTAAATTTTCGGAAAATCCCCCTGTCCGCGGGCGAGAAAACGTTGACCGCGTAAATAAAACCGCGCGCGTTCGTACGCGGATAACAGTAATTGCGCGGCAATAGCAATTACGGAAATTCGGACGATTTCCACGCCGTCGCCGGGAACCGTTTAGCGGCCCCGTCCCGTGCCCCCGTGCCCGTTAAACGGCGTACCGCGCGCGCGGTGAACGGTTTCTCGACGGCGCGGGTCGCGCGGACAATAATGGAACGCCGTTAATTTCACGTGTACGCGGCGGCGTATGAAATTAAAATACCTGCGCGCGGGCGGCCGTGCAGTGGAACACCACGCGCTCGGGCGTAATAACGTTTTAAATGCGTTCGATTAGCGAACGCCGCCGCCGTGTACGAGTTTAATCGTTATCGTAAAAATAACTCGGTCGGCCGTAATACGCACGAGGCCGCGTGCACGGTAATTTCAAAATGGCGGCGAAAAAAACGAACGATTCGATTAGACGACGGGAGTTCGACTACGTACGGGCGGCAGACGCCTGAACGAATGAAACGAATTCCCGGGCCGCGTAGACCAATCCGGATATACCGAAGACATTTCGGTGTAACGATTAGATTAGCTTATTATGGGTAAATCGTCGGGTTTCTCCGTTTAAAATAGGCGGAAAAAAAAAACGTCCTCGAATAATGGAGACGGGTGCAGCCGCCGTCGCAGACAACCTAATGTACAACTGCGTGCAACGATACAAACCATTGTTAACGAAAAAACGATTCTGAGCGCGGTCCGGTCAACAGCGATGCTTTATCAACGAATTATATGTCGTATTATGGTAAAATAATTAGACAGGCACAGTTTATTTTCTTTAATGATATTTGTTATTAAATTGTACCGGTCTTTTCCGTTTTGATATTTTGATATACGTTTAACTAATATCTACATTTTTGCTATTCCGACATTTTATCCCTGTTTTTCCTAAACATTGTGAAAACCGCTTGAAACATCAAAAAATAACCCCCTAAATTATCACGGAGAGAAAATTTCCTTTCGGAAAATAAGCTACACTTGATACATCGGAGCAACTCTAGTAGAAAAGTTTGCACGTCAAATCGAGGGGTATTTTTCGATTAAAATCGTCCGAGCGAGCGACTGCTGGAACTTTAGGTACACTAAAATGCATTTTGTTTGTTCCCTGTTCAGGTAAACGGGGAAAAATAAGAGCAAACAATTTCGAAAAGAAACACGGGTTTGAATCGTCGATCACTAGAATGACAATGGGTATTGGATATGTATGACCATTCGGCTATGACAAATATACTCTAGAGAAGATTATGTATTATAGTTATTTAACATAACCATAGTATTAGAGCTTCAAAAAGCTAAAATTACGAAACTTTGTCAGTCCGCTCAACTTCGACTTCACCGTCGTTCTTAAATCTGCAATATACATATGATCGAAGTATATTTTATATTCATATATAACATATTTGTATTGATAAATGGTGATATTGTAATTTATATATTTTTTTAAAAAAAATCGAACTTTTAGCAAAAAAAATGTGACAAAAAACATAAAATAACAGAACGATTCTAATTGTTGTGTTCATATTTAATTTTGCGTATAAATCAGTGCGAACAAATATTTCCCATCTTAAATGGATCATTTAATGGATTTTGAATGGATCTCACGCTGTAATATTTAGATAGATAGCTATATGTATAGCTATAAATAGATTTAGCGGAAACGTCTGACGCTCGGCGGCCGTGGGCGTTGCAGCGGTGGCCTCATAAAAACCAAAGGAAATTCGTGTATTTATAAGTTTTTTTTAAATTTTTTTTTTAGAATATAGAATCGAATCTATTTAGAATTTTTTTAGTTTGCTTTGAATTTGACTTCTATGTTTTGTAGTTTATGGGTCCATTAAAAATATTTTCCCGAAATCCCAATCACGAGTCAGACCGACTCTGTTTAGATTCATCGTGTATACGGTATACTCGTTTTTTAAATTTAAATTTTAAATAACTTTTTCGAAACGGTAGTCGGTAGGCACATTATCATTTCATTATTACACTACGGAAATATATTTAAATAAACGATTCAAAAATATGATCACAAGTAGGCGTCGTTGCAGATCGGATAGATCAAGTTAACGTTTTTGTTTTAATGGCATAGCATAACGAATTTTTTCGATAACAACGCTTATACATATTTCGTATCGATTATTATTATTCGATACAGGTTACTTTACAGAACACGTTTCTCGTTTAAGAGATTCGAATATTCAACATTGGATAATATGAATTCCGACAAGTCGCGTTACAAACCTTTTCGTTAAATCCGTATCGATTTACAGAATTCACCTACTGCACGTTAAATACGTAATAATACATTGTTGCTATTAACAACTTCATAGTTACGTGATTTCCATTTCAATCGAATAGGTACAAAAAAAAAAAAAAAAAAAAAACGGGTGGGTGAACCGTGAGCGCAAGAGTGTTCGGAAACGTAACAAAAAACCGTCGTGTTTTTTGCGCGCAACAAAAGCGGTCGAGAGAATTTATCGTCCGCGGACATTTGACAGATTTCTTCGGACACCGCCGAGAAAACCCGGCGCGGGACGGTTGCCGGGGTAGCAGCGGGCGCGTGGACAATTACATCGGCGACCCGGGGCGAAAACACCCGGCGCCGCCGCCGGCGGGCGCGCGCGTCGCGGCGTCTCCGAAACGCCGACGCACGGCACTGTTTATCGCGGACGGCAACAAATCGGCCTTTTAAAATTCAAACGACATTTGTCACCGCGGTGCGCGCGCACTGTGTCATTACAACGTACGGCGTGCACGTCGCGTAATTAAATACGAATAAACTCTCGCGCGGTCCCTCGCATTGTCGTAATTTCAAACTTTAAATCATTAAGAGCACGTTGTTATACACAGCCCACGCGCGCGTTCATACGTGCCCCGTCCCCCGTCCGCGTAGTCAATGAGCGACGCGATGAGATTACGGCGTGCGCGCAGGACTCCATACCCCGGGGCGCGGCGTTTCCGGGGGAGTATACTATTTCAAGTTTTCGACGACCGTACGGGACGGGCAGGACATTCGTTACGGCGTCCGCCGCCGCGGCGTTTTTGTTTTTTTGGAAAATATCGTCTTTCGAAGTAAGCGTTGTGCGGCACCGCGTTTTATAAAAACTTTTAACCGCCGTGGAACGTCATCCACTGCGATTACTATTGACCGTACGCGTATCGGACGATTAAACCTCCCACCTCCACCCCACCCCATACACACACGCACCCCTCTTTTCCCGTAAGGTTTTCGCGAGAAACGTTTCGCGGTTCGCGTGTATCGAACGCCGCAATCGCGGTAAACGCCGCGCGTCGCGCGATCGTCCGGACGCGGGGAAATGTCCGTGTTGTAAATAAGCCGGCAAGCGACGGCGGCGCGGCGTTCGGATTTCGCGAATACGCGACTCCGATAAACGCGGAAGATAACGGAGCGCTTGAGCGGCACGCCGGAAACGTAGTGAAAACGAAACCGTCAAAACGGTCGACCCTGGTAAACGGGGACGCGCGCGCGCTGTCCGGCACACGCGCGAACGCGCCGACTTTTTCGCCGTCCGCCGCGCGCTAACGCTCCGGGGTGGATCGCAACGGACCGCGCGAGCCGAGGCGGTACGCCGCGGCCGCCGCGTTCGCGTGATAGCCGCGTGATATTTTGTCGTCCGGCCGTTTTCGATCGCGAATCTTTACGCCGCCCGTTATTTCTATTATTGTCGTTATTATTGTTTCGCACGCGAATCCCGTTACTATATCCGTTACCGGTTTGTCGTATTTCCAATCGATAGTCGGTTGATTTTTTTGGAAAAAAATTCATTCGTTCGTAAGTAAAAAAAAGACGATAAAAATTACGTTCATCATCTTCGATGTTAACCAAAACACATTTTAATAAAAAAAATCTGTGTTTCCATAATCGATAAAAAAAAAAAAAAAAAAAAAAATCCTTCAAATCCGAACCCTAGTGATAAGTCATATTATTGTTAATGATTATGCGCACAAGTCGACTCAATCGAGACTTGCGTGAAAATAAATTGCTATCGTATTTAAAATCGGTACAAAAAATTGTATATCATAACGTTTATAATGAATATTTAATTCGATTAAAAACGGTAAAAAGTTTTTATCGGCCCTTGGGAATCTGTCTCGGCTCTTTACGGAACGAAATAATTATTGTACGATATGCTAAAACACGTTTCGTTAACGCGGATTCGTTCGAAAAGTGTGTTTGCATTATTATTAAATTAACCGCGATAAAAAACGCGTACAAATGCTTCTCTCCCCCCCCCTGTAAATATGATTTATTAATAATAAAATGAACAACGCGTATCGAATAGAAAAAAATCACGTTATTTCGAGTTGATTCTTTTCTTTTTTTTTTTATTGTTTTGTTTTTACTATCGTGCCGACGTTTCAATTGAAAGGCACAAAAAAAAAAACTACCGTTTCGTGCTGCCCCTCCGATGCACACGGTCGGAAGTCGCCGCGCGCATAGAGAGATACGTGATGCGTTTGTTTCGCACTGGGGAAGTACGATATGTACATGTGCGCACACTTCAACCGGACGGACGGACGTGTCCCGAGGTTAGGACGTACGTGTAGGTAAAAAATACAAAAAAAAAAAAAAAAAAAAAAAAAAAAAAATAATAACAATAAATAAAAACCGCTGGGATAATAAATATTTCAAGATTTGTGTTCCTTTATTTTTCCGGTTTTTTTTTTCCCTCCGCGTCTTCGTCTTCTATATTTTATAGAATTTCACCGGCGGGGCGCGAACACACGCGGCCGTGCCTCTATTGTATTACAATACACACACATATATACACGGAACGACGTACGCTGTATACTATATGTTTATATGTATATATATATATATATATAGATATACAGCGCGATCGTGAGGACTGTTTATATTCTCGTCGGGGCCGGGCGTATAGATGAAAACCGGGCAGTTTTACACGGTGACCACGTACCCGCACATACGTACGCGTACGCGTATGCGAATTACATGTGCCTGGGTTTATATATTATACGCGGTTACGTGCGGTTCGGGAAGAGCGAACGGGAAATGTCAGGTGGTCGTCCGCGAACGGGTCGTCGGCAAAGGTCCGGCTGTGGCATGGACTGGCCGTACCGGCGGCGCGGGGCCACAGTACCGGACAACAGTGCGTGAGGTGGGGGGGGCTAGGGGGTAGGGAGAATGGAAAGCCCGAGACGGCGAACCGGTGACAAAAGGTTCCCGAGGGAAATTATGTACGGACGGATCGTGCTGTCGCGGTATACTCGAATATTATACCGGGTGTATCACCACCGCTGTCATATGACACCGGCGTATATTTTTCATTACTACGCGCCTCTAGATGGCTGCACCGTAAGCGCGAATGCGTAATCATATTTTCGCCAGGTACACGGCTGTAATAACCGAGTGTTGGTAAAATAAAACGTTCAAAATACGGCATAATGTGTGCGAAAAATAGACACATTATATCCAGGGAGGGTACAGAAGATAAAGATACCAGTTAACAGGAAAACAACTAATATGAACAGCGTTTGAAAAAAAGTTACGGTATTGGGGACGGGTGCAGCCATTGGTGTAGGTGGAAAGTCGGGAAGGTAGGATACGTACGAGGATTTGATGTATATCTTTAAGCAACGGTCAACCATTGATTACGAAAAAACGATTCTGAACCGAGTTCAGTTGACAGAGATGCTTTTTCAACAATATATACGCCATAAACTATAGTGAAATATTTAAATAGGCTCTAAATATTTTCTTTAATAATATTCGTTTAATGTTATACTGATTTTCCCAGTTTTCATGCGTTTTTCCCGGTTTTCCCATTTTTTATCCTGGTTTTTCACATTTTTTGGGAAAACTCACGAGAAAATAGAAAAATTACCTCTCCAAAGGTTAGGTTAATATTTCCTTTTACAAACATTGCTATCATTATAAGTTGGAGAAAAATTGCTGGCAGAAAATTTGTGAACAGAAAAAAAATAATATTAATATTTTAGTAATATATTTCGTACATTTTCCTGGTTTTTTTCTTCGGTTTTTTCGAATTTTATGAGAAAACTCTTGAGAATAATCGAAAAATGTTTGAAGTAAAGTGAAGTAAAGTTTGTGCTCAAGGGCATATATTTATAACCGCCTTTTTTTATGTCATACCTGTTAATGATTTGATTAATCTAGCCACAATTGTTCGTTTTTTTTTTTTTTTATAATAATTGTATCAAATTCTTATTAAAATTTCAACATTTTACTTCCAT